CTTGCATGTTGAATTACTGACTTTGGTTTAGTTATTGAATGGTACTAATGAATGTAATACCCTCAATTCAACTTAGTCAAAAATTAACCCAAAAAATGTCAAATGATCAAAATTTATTAGAATCGAATCAGAATTAAATCAAACAATTAAACATTTAAATACTTTAATTTTCAGTGTTTTAAGTCAATAACTTTTTTTTATAAAATGTCACATCAATAAATCTAAAAAAATTAGAATTAAAATCATGACTAATTTTCAATTGTACATGAAAGCATATAGACTTCGAACAAATTTTAACCCTTGTAAAAACTACTGTTTAAGGTGAAATTTCTACCCTCTTTATGAGAAAACACCTATGGAGGCTGAGAGTGATAAAAGGCCGGTAACAATGAAAGTAGAAACAGTAATTATTTTAGTGAAGAGAGCAAATAGGGAGAAAACGTAATATTTCACTAAATGAATAGAAAGAATTACAGAGGCTGCCTTTAGTCCATTACATTGATATGCTTATATAGCCTACAAACAACTCTTTAACAAAGTAACTGAATTATAACTACCTAACAAAATAACAAATGGTAACCAATTCTGTTAACACTCTAACATTCACTCTACTCCTTCAATCTTTTAATTTTCTTCAAAATGAACTTGCTATTAGAGAGTTGATCAAAAAAAGAACGCAAACTAAATAAGTTGGAATTCAACTGTCTTATTTTACCGGTCAAATAAAAGACTATCTGATTTGGTTTTGTAATTACGGTCTCCTTAATGGAAATAGTATTCACAATTCAGTAATTGTTCCACCTACATCGGCTTTGGTTTTAAATTAGCAATTACGGCAGATGTAATTCTCTGTCAAACTTTTAAATTTCGATAACTGATATAAAATCCAGTTAACTAATTTATCTAATATTTTATTATATTTTTTAATATTGTTCAATAAATTTGAATTCAAACTCCAAAATTTGCATTTCTTTTCTTTTCTTTTCTACCAAATCAAAAGAACGGTAGATATTTAGAGATGAAATACACTAAATGGCCAAAATTTTACTCTCAAAAGAGGGTATATATAAGGATAAATTATCCTACTAGTCACTGAATTTTAATTTCTATATTGATTTAGTCACCAAAAATTAAAACACTTCAATTTTAATGCTAAATTTTCAACATTACTTTTTTGCCATTGAGATTTTAAATCGTTTATGGCATAATGGCGTGACTATTTCCCCCATTTTTCTATAAGAAATTATAAACTTCTCCAATCGTCGTCCATTATTGGTCCTTATTCACAATAAGATTGATACCAAAATATTCATATTTAACTCCTCTTTCTTTTTCTTAAATAAGTTTTTCATGAAACCCAATAAAAGTATACAAAAATCCATCTAAAAGTTAGACGTTCCAAAGCTTCAATCTCCTCTGATGGTTGTCTAATGAGACTAGTTTCGAAATATGATTATCGTCTTCACAAAATAATACTTCTCGTCATTTGAATTTTTGATCAAACATCTCAAAACCCCTCAAATATGAAAAAGTCCTAATGCCTTCCGAAATGATGGGTTTTGTTATGTATAATTTCATAAGTTTTAAAAAAGGTTTTGAGAAGATTTAATATGATAAAATGATAGAGGTTGGTGTGACAAAGTTTATCGATGCCTAGTGTGGCATAGAAGACACTAGAGAATGGTTGTTTCTGGTGGACAGTGACAACTGAAAATAGCTTAAAAAAACTCTAATTTTCATAAAGAGTCGATGAGATAGAATGAAAAAGATTTTTTAACTTCTACATCATCATCAAACTGCCACATCATTCCGATGTCAACTATTTAATAGTCTATTAACCAAAAAATTAGAGCTAAAATTAAAGTGTTTTAAAGTTTAGTGACCAAATAACACACAAACTAAAGTTCAATGACTAATGAGATAATTTATCCTATATATAACTATAATACGCATATGTACATTTGGGTGGCCGATGATCTCAGTTGATGGAAGGGTCAAGATCATCCACTTGGAATTGCATGGTCATCGATGTGATTTGTGTTTCGGAATTGATGGAATCAATATTTCAAGGTCTTGGATTTCCTTTGATTTCCCCCCAATTTCCTCATCGCATAATCATCAAATTCACCAGAAAAGTTGGTGGACTCGAGATGGTTTTTCTCCCCCACTTTTGCGCAAGTTATAGATATCATTCATGTGCCCAATGGTCCAATTCCATTACTCGGCCCATACCGTATAAGCACCCCTCGTTTGTCGAGCATGATTTCACATCAGCATCACAATTTTACCTCAAAAGTGTGTTGTAATATCATTAATTATCCATTAATTTAATAAGATACGACATTAAACTATTTAAATAAAATTTAAGATTTGAATCTTTAAAATTTAGCATACGTGACATGTTTTTGATTGGATGGCCTTTTTATTTTATTTTTTTTGAAAATAAACCTTTTTTATGATAAGAATAAAAGAGGTAAAATAATAGACTAGATGATAATATAAGGATAATTTGAGGGGGGAAATACTATAAGGGTTAAAGTGAGTATTAGATTAAACTAAGGGGAAAATAACTATTAAGCCAAAACATTAAGACAAAAAGACTATAAATTAGAGTAAAGTATAGCTATGATCACTTAATTATTGTCCATTTTCATTTTAACTATTAATCTTGTAATTTTGTCAACCATACCACCTAACTATTTATATGTTACCAATCAAGTCACTAGCCATTAATATTTGACAAATATACTAACGTAGCAGTTAACGAAATTGACATAATTATTTGGCCATTTACATTTGGACCAAACATATAATTATGTAAATTTTAGTAACTGTCACATCAATATCTCGGTCAAATGTTATCTGCATGACAATAATTAAATAGTTAAGTGGTTTGATTGATAAAATCGAAAGATCAATTTTCAAAATGAGAAGTTACAATAATTAAGTGGTCATAGATATAATTTATCCTATTAATTTCTTGCCACTTGGGGAGCGTGTATACCATTTTAGAGGAAGCGAGTGGGTAAATAAAAATACCATGGTTTTCAGAACTGGACCGGTTAGAGAACCGTCATGCTATCGGTTTATTGGTTTAACCGGTCGAACCGGTTCGAAGAATCGGGACGTCATAATTATTTAAAAAAATTAAATAAAAATACCAAAAATATTTAATAAAAAATAATTTTTTATATCACAATTCATATTCAAAGCAAGTCATAACAAATATAAGTTAAAAACATAAAATCAAGTGAAACAAAATGATTCAAATTAACTACAACATAATATTTAAGGTAAAATATATTAAATAATAAATATAATTATATAACTATAATTAAAAAATAAATTTGGGCTAAAAAATCATAACAAAATGATATTGTTTGGCTTAATTTTTTTTTTAAACAATCTCACATGGCTAAGAAATATAGAAGATTATCCCAACTAACTTCTATAAATAATAGAGGTAATTTGACATTCAAAATCATGGAGCCTTTTGGTAAGCATTGAGTAAACTATTCTTTCACTTCAATCAATCTCGAATTTTAGGCTTCAATCGAGCTTCTAATTTTTTTTTTGAGTTCAAGCCTTTTCGAGTTCAAGTTTCAATATTATATTTCGAGTTCGAGTTAAACTTCATAATTTTTAGCTCGTGAGTTTGAATCGAGTTGAGCTTACTTTTAAATTTTTCAAGTTCGAGTAGAGCTCAGCAATACTCGAGTTCGACTTGGCTCGTTTAACAAACGACGTCGTTTGGTTTAATTTTTTTTAAATAAAATTGGTGGTTTTTTCCGGTTTTCAGCCGGTCCAGTTTGAACGATTCTACGGTTCTGGTCGATTCACTAGTAGCGATTCAACCAGTCTAGATTGAACCGGACTAAGCAACGATTCCCGATTGAACCGGTCGATCCGGTCCGGTTTTCAAAACAATGGTAAATACACATAAACTCAAAACTTCCAAATTGGAGAGTAAGCACTGACCAATGGCGATGGCAACAGGTTGAAGACCGAACCAAACCCCAAATATATATAACATTAAAAAAAACTATAATAAAAATACAACGGTAACTAAATCATATATTAATGAATTTTATTTTCTCTCATATTTTATTCATTATATTTTTAAGTTTTAAATCTACTCGTTAAATTTTTAAATTGTTTATATTTATTCATTTTGAATTATTTTATTATTATTTTTGGTATGACATGATTTATTATTATTTAATATAAAAATAATTTAAAATATAAAACTAAAATCAGACGATGGATGTTCATTGTTCGCCGTCGTTGGATGTCACCGTTGAAGGTCGTAGATGGTGATCGTTTGTTCCTAAATTTCATCGACCGCTTAGTCTCAACCCCTTTAGTTGAATTTGACATTCATTTTGTTGAAACATGCTTCGAATCCGATCAAAAATGAGGAAACAGAAAAGCCGATGGTCGTATATGGTGACCATTCGGTCTCAAATTTCATTAGTCACTTCATATCAATCACCTGAGTCCGAATCTGACCTCAATTTTATCGGAACATACTCTGAAGTCCACGAATTAGAGGTCGAAAGTGAGGAAACTGAAATATTTAGTTGAGATTCACGAGTTTTGATACATTTTCTGGTGAAACAATCACCATATTCAGAATTAGTGTGTCAAAGCGAGTCTCTCAGTTCAATTTAGGATCAAACGAATGCCAATTTTAAAGCCTGGCAGTAGTCGACGATGTCAAAAAAGGATGATGATTTTTTTAATTTAATAATAACAAATTATTTTATTATTTATTTTAAATTACTTTTATATTTAATAATAATAATAATAAAATAATTTGCAGTGACTAAAACAAGAGTAATTCAAAAATTTCAGTGAGTAAATTAAAAAAAATAAAAACAGTGAGTGAAATAAGAGAGAGAGTAAAGTTCAGTGATGACTGATGTAGTTTACTCAAAACATAAATCGTGCAGAAACAGCCACCTAGTGATATCAATACTGGAATTCAATAAAAGAGCCCAAGGCCGTAGACCCACCAAAGAGTCACACAGAAAACGACCGCCAAAAAAAAGCTTTTGTTATCGATCTTAAATATCACTTCACATTCTTCTTTCCATCCCAGAGTTTTCCCATATTTTACTTGAAGGAAAAAGAAGCTGAGATTCTAAAGATTGAGAAAACAATGGAGCCTGGAGATAGTGTGATGTAAAGAGAGAAAGTGTGAGTTATCCAAGGGAATATTTTGTTTGTTTGTTTGTTTTCTTATTAATGTTATGGCATGCCAGAGTTACAACGAGCTTTGCATTGAAGGTGCTTGCTCAATTTCCCATTTCGGTTTTGCTTTCTTGTCTGTCCCTTATAAAGACGGTTTCCATAGTTGGCTGTTTTAATTCTTCCTTGAAGAAAAAAAAGAAAAAAGAAAACGGCAATGAAAAGTCTTGGGGTTCGTCTGTTCTTCTTGGTCTTTCTTGCTCCAATCGGTACTTTCTCCTTTACACTTTCTTATGGTTTATAGTTCAATTTGTTTGTGGCTTTTTACTGGTTATTTAGTATGTTGTCTGAATTGGGTTGATCTCAGAATTGTTGATTTCTACTGTTTTGGTCATTGCATAAAGTTTACCTTATTTTAGAATTGGGGTCATGATATCTTACTGGTGAATTTTGTAGGGTTGTTCCTAAATCTTGCAAGTTTCATGAAGAAGAAAAGATGTAACTGAGAAACTGCTGTTTTGATTGTTGTTATTAAAAATTTTGAACTAAATTTACTGTTTATTGAATATCATGATTATATATCAATTACTTTTTCATAAATTAAAGGATTTTGAATTGCTATATGTTTTTAGTTGGATTTGGGATTTGAATTCTGTTGTTCTCTTGAGAGGGTTACTGAACTAGAGAAATATACTTTGGTGGATATTGTTTGATTGAAGCTTCATTAAAATATGAGAGTTTTCTTTAGTATTGCTTCATCCGCAAGAATGATTTTCACTAGTTTATAACCTGTTATTTTATTTTTAAAAAAATTGTTTGATTGTTGAGATGATTTCTAAGTATGTGTGTAAGCATTCATCGGTTTGCTATTAAACTGCTAACGATGCAATAAAAGTTTATTAAAATGACAGTAATAGTTCAAAAATATGAAAATAACATAAAGGACCAATTATTTGGTAATCACTTATAATCCAACTTTCCCTTCAGCTTTTGGCTTATGCAATATTAGTGTGTGTTTAGCTTCTTCTTTCTACCTTGGCTGTTAATCAGTTTGAGAACTTGCTTTTTTATTCAGTCCAAATGGTGCATCAAATAATTGTTACCTACAATTTATGATGGACATCATAGATTCTAGAGATCTTTACCAAAATAGTAATAATAATAATAATTCAATTTGTTTAGTTGGTCAACAAAATATTTAGTGTGTGATCTATTAATTCATAGGATGTGGGATGCATTTTCCCAAAATCATTGCAAATATCTCCTGTCTTTGGCATATGTCAGTATTGTTATTATGGTTGTCTTCGGTTTATTATGGTGCTTGCAAATGAAGTGACATTAATTAAACACTATTTTGGTTTCTTTTCTCCAGCATCTGTGACTGTGCAAGCTTTCACTGGAACATATGGTATTAATTATGGAAGAATAGCGAATAACATCCCTTCACCAGATGAAGTTGTTACACTTCTTAGGGGAGCAAAGATAAGGAATGTTCGAATTTATGATGCTGATCCTAGTGTACTCAAAGCATTTAGTGGAACAGGGCTGGAAATTGTGGTTGGACTCCCAAATGGAAATCTGCAAGACATGAGTGCCAATGCAGATCATGCAATGAATTGGGTCAAGAACAATGTGCTGGCATATCTTCCTGATACACATATCCGTGGGATCGCTGTAGGGAATGAAGTCTTAGGATCAAATGATGAATTTTCAGGATTTCTTCTGGGCGCAGTTAAGAATGTTTACAATGCATTAAATATGCTTAAGTTAAGTGACGAAGTTCAGGTTACCACTGCACATTCTCAAGCTGTTTTTGCTAATTCCTTCCCTCCTTCTTCATGTGTATTCCGAGATAATGTTGTTCAGAACATGAAGCCACTTTTAGAATTTTTTTCACAAATTGGCTCCCCTTTCTGTTTAAATGCATACCCGTTCCTAGCCTACATGTCTGATCCGGAGCATATTGATATTAATTATGCTCTCTTCTTACCAACGGAGGGAGCAAATGACCCAAAAACTAAGTTGCATTATGATAACCTGCTTGATGCACAGATCGATGCAGCCTATGCTGCATTAGAAGATGCCGGATTTAAAAAGATGGAAGTCATAGTCACTGAGACTGGGTGGGCTTCATATGGAGATGAAAATGAATCTGCAGCAACCATAGAAAATGCAAGGACATATAATTACAATTTGCGAAAAAGACTTGCAAAGATGAAAGGAACTCCGATGAGGCCAAATAACGTGGTGAAGGCATATGTGTTTGCAATCTTTAACGAAAATCTGAAGCCTGGGCCAACTTCTGAGAGGAATTTTGGACTGTTTAAACCCGATGGGAGCATTTCATACGATATTGGATTTCATGGTCTTAAATCTTCATCCGCAGATTCATTACTTTTGCCTTTGAAGGTATGAGTTTCTCTCCCACCCTTTACATATGTCATCTATGTTAACCTTTTTTTGTTTTCCGACAGAAGATACATATTCTTGGAACAATATAAACCTGTCTTGTTATTGGCGTGCCAATTTTTTGTTTTCTCTTACATCAGTTTCCACTTATGAGTTTGATTTATCTTCTCATTAACTATCAGCTTAGAGGTATCACCTTCTTGAGTTTGTATATGGTTTTTATGTGGACGTTTCTTTTTTATGTTTGAAGGCACCTAAGAGTCCAAGATCCTGTATTTGTTGATCTGAATGACTGATTTCCACTATGAAAGATTTGGCAAGTAGTCACTACCTAGTGCAGCTTGAATAGAATGAAATCGTTGTGGCTATATATATATATATATATATATATATATATATATATAGAGAGAGAGAGAGAGAGAGTCTAAATTCAACAAACCATAATAACATGCTTTTATAAGGAAAACCTCAGAAGGCTATGGTGCAAGTCATAAAAGAATCCCATGTTCTTTGCCCAAAGTTCTTAAGTAGTGATCCTACCGTATTGCTTCCCCTATTAGAAATGTGAAAGAAAAGTTCTCTAATTTATATAAACCGATGAGTAAGCAAATCATAGCAAGTTCTCCTTTTATGTAATGCAACGGTTCTCCAATTTGCTATTTTTTCGTTCAGTCTACCCGCTACTGGACCAAAATCGATTAATCTTCTTATGATGCTGGAACTGGAAGGATTCCAAGTACCCGTAGAGGGATAAATTTGGTGGCAGGAATGCGAGTATCCCTTTCCAAACCATTACAGCCAAACTGTTTCAAGAATTTATCTGCTATCAGAGTTGCTAATTTGCTTCTGTTTACTTTGCAAAAGGTTAATCCATCGACCATTGTCATACATCACTTATTAATCATTACTTCAAATGTGTACGAATGATCCCTCTTTACAATGCAGAAGAACTTTTATTAAACACAACTGAAAAAACATACCATTGCACCACTGCTACATGGGAAAGCATTTACTTCTGTAGAAGCATCTGTTTGGATATAATTTGCATTATCTTGAACTTACCGGTACTGTATTTGTACATGTTACCTTGCTCGATTTGTTTTCTTGTCAAAATGAACTTTAATCCCCAATGGTGAGTCAATAAAATAATTGGAAACAGCTAGAGGGGCAAACAAGAATTGAGTTTGGTTGTACACCAAGAGGATTGGGACCAATGGATAGCTTCTTTTTCCTGTACTGTTGGAAAGATGAAGTGCAAATCAGACTATCGGTCCTCGTCCTGGTGCCAGCAAGTCTAACAGTTCCAAGTCAAAAGGAAAGGGTATATAATTTGAAAACTACTGAAACCATGAAGATATATTCTGTTCCCCACCCCTGATACTATTAGATTATCAGACAAATAGGGCAGTCTTTGATGACTTATCTGTAATTTTGTGTTCTTTGTTAATGAAAGTAATAAAGTATGTTGCTTGTATGTAGTTTAGTGATTCACTTGTCTGCAACAACTTGCTCTTTCAATATCACAGCAAAAGTAAGAGCTGCTATGGTTTTTCTTCATCCTATTTCGTTGGTATGCACTTTTGCAGGATAATCGAGATCAAGGTTGGTGTGGATGCTGTTCCATAATATTAACAATGGCTACTGCATTCCTGCTTGTGTTGTCAAGATAGTGATTGAAATTGAGTGAGGCTTCATTCAGTTGATGTCAAGGCCAGCCCCCATTAACTCTATAGTTATAGATTTGTTGACGATTCACTTGTCTTCATACTTCAGAAAACAAACCAATACACCTGATTTTTGGATCTTTAGTGACACATGATTAGCTCTTTACAATTACCAGGAAATGTGTTTGTTGAGCGTGAATAAATTTTAGTTTATGTGCATATAAATACATATGTACTTGGAGATTTTTGGCTCACATCGTGCCCTTTGTACTTGGTGTTATATGGAACCTTGGGGTTGCATTCTTGTCGTAAAGAAGAAGATAATGAACAAGCTCGTTTATGAATAGCGTAAAGCTTGCTTCATATTATACTTTCATAAAGAGTTGTTGTTATTATTTTTATTTATTGCATATGGTAAGATTTTTAATTATTTATTTTCATATATATTTGATTATCCTTGGAGAATAAATTTAATTAATTAATAAAATATAAACATAATTTTAAATTTTATAACATACATAAAAATTTGAGTTAAAATTAACGTCAATCGATTTAATATTCAGTCGAATAACGTCTAAAGGAAATCACTGAAAAAAATAAAGATTATTAATAAGTTCAAAGCTTTTAAAAAATAATAGAGCATTAGAATAATGATATTTACCATGTTGATGGAGGAATATGAAAGATTATTTTAATTGATAATTTTATATTATATTTATTGAGATGGTATCAATTTAATAAAAAAATACATACAATAATTAAAAAAAGTAACCATCCTAGAATAGTTTAAGTTTATGAATAATTAGCATTCAACTAATGCTTTGACATTTTCAGTTCCATTTTGGTTTTCGCTATGGTTCTATAGTCGGTTGTCAAGGCCTCTATTTTTTTAGGTTGAAGGCGTAAATATTAAAAATAATATATATAGGATAAATTAAATAAATAAAAGTAATAAAGGTTAAATTAATAAAAATTAGCTTATCATGATTACAATGCAATATCTGTTAGAAAGATTTTAAAATTTAATAATGATCGTTTAAGTATCCCTGCAAACGTCGTATTTAAACCTGAAACTTCTAAAAGTAACAAACATCTCTTAACAAGATCAAATAACATGATTAAATAGTTATTGTTTCATTTGTATTTAGTTATTCGTAAAACCTTCGAAGATTATTGAAATAAATTTGAACTTATAACATATGAGTAGGATTCTTCACTCATAGGCCCCATCACTAATTGACTCGCACTATATACACATCAGAAGACGAGACAAAGACTGGAGTGACCGAGTGAAATCAGAGAACGCAGCACATACACAAAACCAGAGAGAAAATGGCTACGGCAACAGTCATTCTAGTTTTGGCTTCAACCCTAATCCTGTTGCAGAACACGTACGCCACAACAACTTATACTGTAGGAGATTTATTTGGATGGCAAATCCCAACCATTAATCCCAATTTATACGGTGATTGGGCCGACAACGAAACCTTTGTCGTCGGTGATGTTCTTGGTGAGTTTCTTAATTTCCTCCAAAAAAAATCACAACTTTTTGAAACACGGATTCAGTTTCCAGTTGTTTTTTATGCAGTGTTCAATTTCACTACAGGGCAACATGATGTTTTAGAGTTGACGGAACCTGGTTATGACGCCTGCACCACGTCGGACACCATCTTAACCGTGAACAAAGGACCGGCAAGAGTTACGCTTGCAAGTACCGGTGAGCATTACTTTATCTGTGCTTACCTTGGTCATTGTTCCGCTGGCCAAAAGCTCAAGGTCGACGTACGAGATGGTCGCAGTAATACGCCGGCCGGAGTTCTTAGTCCTCCCGGCGCAGCTTCGTCCCTTGTTGCCACCATGTCTCTTGTGTTTATGATCATGGCCTTCGCTTTGATGTCCTAATTGTGTTAATCCCTTTTCATGTTCCTTTAGTTACGATGGTGATCATGGAATGATATTTGGCGTTGGAATAAAAACTTTGATTCACTCCTATTATGGTAAGCATAATATGATAGAAAATCATTTATTTAAAGCAACAATATATTAAATTCTAAATTTTAACTTCTAAAGATAATTAACATTCGTACAAAGAGAAATTTAAAGCTCAATTTATAATGAAAAGGATATCAACAACTTTAAAGATTTAACTGAAAACATATATAACGATCAACCAGTGTTGGATATTATAGCGATAAGGCATATTATACACTCAAAGAAAAAAAATCTAAATTCAAATTTTATAGATAATATTACTAAAGGATTATAAAAAGTGAAATTAAAAAAAATTAAATTATGGTGTCAAAATTTAAATTTTTTTTTAAATATATGACATTAAATAGGATGCTAATTACTCTTAACGTGATGTTAATTTTATTTTTAATTTTTTTATATAAAATTTGTAAACAACTCTTCTTCTTAAAACTTTTTTATTGTCAATTAACATGATTCATCCATTAACAATCTATCAAGTGGTTTTAGTAGTTAAAAATAGTGTCATTCTCTATAAAATTCTAAGTTTGAGCAGTTACATCGTGTGTGCATTGTTAATTTTGAAGGGAGACATAAAATTTTAAGGAATCAAAAATAAATTTTTAATAAAAAGTATAAAATTATATTTAAAATATATAGTAATTTAAAATTTTCAGGGGACATGCTCCCACCCGACCCATTCCGTTCATCCAACTTTGAATTGAGACCCTTTGGTAGGCTGCCATACTATCCCCTGGCCTTAAATGGTCCCCTGCTATAATCTTTCTTGAATTAAGATGGGAAAAAAACAGTTACTGCTACGCATGGACTAGAGATGGCCCCAACTCTTTTTCACTTGCTAAAGGTCCACTCTACTCCCATTACTGACTTTAGGTTTGTTTATTTGAAAAGGTGCAGACTTTTGAAGCAAATCAAACTACTTTAGCATTAATGGTTTCATCCTCTACTCTTTGCATTGTCTCTAACTCCTTCATCCATTAACAAACTGAAGATGAATGTTTGAATTAGATTTAAGAGATGCCTTGAAATAATTACGAAATGAAACATAAAATACTTTATTTTAAACAGAAATTTTTTAAATGATTTCTATCTAACAATTTCCTTATATGTACAAAAAAATAAACCTCTCCTTTGATTCATGATTTAATAATTATAAACATATTATATATATATATATATATTTAAAAATCACCGGATGAAAATGTAGTTTGGAGTTGAAGTATCCTAATCTTAGAAAGAGATGTGCAATGGGACCAACCCAGCAAAAGATTTTACTCATTGCTCACAGTTCTCGCTGCTTGGGTTGACCTTCACCATTCCTTTCCATGTTATTGTTATTTCATGTTGAATTTACACATGGCGGCTGTCATACAACATGTTCTTGTTCTAACTGCACGCGACATCACCTGGAACCCACAAAACATTGCGGCTGGGGAATGCCTGCCTATGGACAAATTCTAAATTACTTGTACTTCAAAATTGTTCGGTTGAAGAAGTTCAGGGACCAATTTAGAATTCAACTCATAATTTAGGGCATTTGATGAATTTAACCCATGAAATAAAAAAAAAAAAAAGTTGCAGAACATGTGGTTGAAAATGTGAAGAAGCTCCACTTTATTTTCCTCAACAACCAACTCATATTACTGTGGTAATAAAAAAAAGGTGAAGGTGAAAATAAAAAGAAGAATAGATAGGGAGATAAACTCCCAACGTTAACGGAGCTCAGGCATCGTCTTTTTCACAAAATTGGGAGAGAATGAGATGTTTTATCAACCACATCTTTAAAGCTTGGTGGACATTGTCACCCCACCACACACCACATGGGAATGTGTTTAGCCTTGTACTCTAATTCTCTCTACTCTTTTCAGAGGAATCTCCCTCAATTTTAAAAGCCTACAAAGCTCCAAAATGGGAAAATAATGGAAAAGGCCAACATACCTTCTCTTAGACATAATAAAAGTGAACCACCAATTGTAATTTCTGGTTCAAAGGGTTCTTTAAACATGGGTTAAGAGAGCTCAACACTTACATTTGCCTTGTTCAAAATAAATCAGAACCCATAATGGAGTAATCCTCAAAGCAAACATTCATCTTTCTACAAAATATGTAACAATGAGCTACATTTGTTGATCACAGAGGCTAATGCATAAAAGCTATTTTTTTGCAACCAATTATACCTTCTAGCGTGCATCGGTACTACCTGAAAAAAACCTATGAACTTGAATGTTACACGAGAAGAGGATCTAATTACTCAAGTCTCATGCTCATCATCAAACCACAGAGACATGCATAAGACCCTTGCTCCCAACCGTGCTCCTTCCTTCCCACAAACTATCTCCAGTTCTTACAATACAACACTCAGACTCAGGTGCTTTTCGCCATCCTAATCCCTAAAACAAGGGACTTAGCAAGCAGCGAATTGCACTAGAAAGTAGGGCTCAACCTAACTTAATGCCAATAACTAAAAAGTGCCCTCCCATGGCTAACTTAAGAAGCATTCAATTCAACAAAACGTTCTTGTACAAACATGCTAAAATCAATCCGTACCCATTAAGATGACAAGGAACATAAAATCTGAAAGCTGGATATATCGTTCATTAACACTTCACTCTATGACAGCTTGGGTATATATTTCACTCCACTTCATAGTTTCAAAAAGCTAATTAATTTGTCTAAAATACCTATAATTCTTTTCCTCTCTCATTTGTTTCCTGACCTTTGTGCATGATGAAACCTACAAATCATTCCACATATGTAGACTGTAGAGAAGGTAAATATTCCTTACATGGTTCTCAACTGATCAAAAATTATTTATTAAAATATTCAAGTAATTAGATGCGTCATGAGAATTAGATCATCCAACCATTAGATATCAATCATGCTAAAATTTTTATTTACAGTTCACTCTCTGCTACACTCCAAAAATGCAACTCATGGTAAGCATTTAAATTTTACAAGCTCTCAAAAGACCACTAATTTTGAAGGACAAACTACAACTATAACTATTGCCTACAAACCTGGTCCATTTCTTCTATTATTAGTCGACGACCCTGGTAGCCGGCAAAATTGTTCATCTTCTGAGTTGCCTCCAAATGTTGCCTTACGTTTCCTCACTGCTGCCCCAAAATTGTTTTCTTCATTTTCCATGAAGCACTTTCTTGAAGATGAAACAAAATGGTCATTTACAGTCCTCTCTGGGAAAAAACGGAACTCTTTGCTTGTTTGTTGAAAAGCATCATTAAGTTTGCTCCCACCTTGAGTACAGCTTGGACCAACATCTTTGGCTTCACAAATTGAATTCTTTCCTACTTGCATACAAGGGTCAGAAAATAGACCCAGCCGCAAGGACAAATCACATTCTTTTGCAAATGACTTCTCATGGGTGAGTCCGACATCTTGCTGTCCAATTCTCTTACCACCAACATCGACATCAGAAGAAAAAAAATTCTGCAAGGAACCCCTTTCAGCTGGCTCTAAAACAGATGTACCAACAGGTCTCCCAACAATGATCATATCAGGCACTATATTTTCCTGAACGGGGGAACCTGTCTGGAGCTCTGCGATTTGATAGTGTACTCCATAGTAAAGGGGGTAAACTTGACTCATGTTCGGTGGGGTGTTAGTTTCTGTTCTCATCAATTGGTCATGGCCAGATGGACAATTTTCAGACAGAATCGGATAACCATGATGGTTAGTTCGTGAAACCGAAACATTTGAATTCACATTGGTTGCTATTCTTGCAAATTGACTGCCAGACCGAACCGGCGATAACTGAGGACACCGTTCCACACTGCCTTTATCAAAAATCCTAGGCACTGCAGGGACGGGTTCGGATGCTCTTGGCGTTAGATAAGTCCTAGGATTACAGTGTCGTTGGCTCCTTGAAGCTCTCACTGGATAGCACCCAAGATTAAGGGCAGCTAAAACAACATATGTACTACAATCTTTCAGTCCAAATTGTTCTTGAAACTGGTTTCAAATTGAAAAGTTCATAAAGTTGCAGCTAATGTATGATCAAAAGGAGACAAACCGATAAATAATAATAAACTCAAATCCAAAAATATCCCAGAGTAGAACATGTAAAATCTAAAAAAATCAATAGTACCTTCAACACAAGGTGGCAAAAGCTCTCCTGTTTCAGTGCTCTCATCTCGACGGATAATCGTGTTGACGGCATCATTAACACGGTCCCATAGGGTTTCCGGGTTCGTGTATTCAGCCTAAAAATAACGTTAAGCGGAGAGCAAAATTAAGTTGAAAAGTAAACACAGAAAAAATGATCCACAAAACTGAAAGGAGAAAACAACCTCAGAATTGGCTTTGGAATACATAATCTCCTCAGCTTTGACGATGACAGTAATTATTTTATCTTGCCATTCCCTGTTCTTCTTAGTAGCAGTGCTATGAGTTTCCATAGCTAGCCTAAAATCAAACACATGGTGGGCATGGAATTAAACCCCCCCGGGAAAAAAATCTAGATAATGCTGCTTAAAATGAAACGAAATGAAAGACCCAGACCTTAAAATCTGTTGAATATGGAACCTCTCATGGGTTGGTGTCTTTCGCTATGCCAAGCTCTTCTTACACACTCGTAAGGTCGAGGGCCTGGCCTTGGCATCTTTGATCTTTCTTGGAATGAGAAAAGAAAAATCTACTAGGGTAAAACAAGAGAGACAACGAGAGAAGAGGGAAAGAAGAGATACTTAGAGGCTTACCCGGAAGAAAATATTAAAAGAAGGTACGAAGACAGCAGTGTTTTATACAGGGGTTGATGGAAAAATTAGTCAAATTCTTGATGATAATGGGTTTAGGCCTTTCTTCTTCCCCAGTCTGCAATCGATGGGAGGAAGAGAAAGAGAGGGATCAGAGATGGAGGGGTAAAGCTTTTCTCTTTCTTTTCTTTTGAGAGGGGAGCAGTACAACGAGAGTGATAGAAATGGTTCGTGCCTTTGTCTTGGCCCCCAATAATTTAAGAGAGTTTACCATTGTTTACA